CCAAGCCATGCTACCTTGGAGCCAGCTAACTATGGACTGAAACCTCAACAAACTGTGAGCTAAATAAACCTTTCCCTCTTTAACTTTGGGTATCAGGTATTTTTGTCTCAGCAACAGAGAGAAGAGTAATTAAGACACTTAGGTATAAGTCTTACAAATTGCATACAAAAGTTATATGAAGAAAACTACAAAAGTGTGATGAAAGAAATCAAAATACAGCTACATAAATGGAGAAAGAGTCCACACCCACAGACAGGAATACTCAAGATTGTCAAGGCGTCAATTCTTCCCAATTTGATCCATAGATCTAATAGTCCCAAACAAAATCATTTGTGGATATTGACAATCTTATACCAAAGTTTACACAGAGAGGAAAAGGAGCCAGAATATTCAAAACAATTTTGGAGAAGAACCACACTGGAGAACTAAGACTCCCCAATTTAAGACTGAACACAGAGCTTCAATAAATAAGGCAATGCTATATTAGTGAAAGAAGAACCTAATACAACGGAATATAGAAAGCACAGAAATGGATCTATGGGAATAGCCAACTAATGAGGAGCAAAGATAACACACTGGGGACAAGACAGCCTTTTCAGCAAGCAATGTTTGAACAATTAGACATCCACTAGACATAAACCTTACACCTTTCACAAAAAATAACACAGAATGGATCATAGACCTGAATTAAACACACAAGTATAAACAGCCCAAAGATAACACAGGATAAAATCTAAATGACTTAATGTTGGATAATAATTTTCTAACAACCCAAAGGCATAAAGAATGAAAAAAAAATGATAAGCTTGACTTCATTAAAATTAAATTTTTAGTCCTGCAGCAGACATTAAGAGAATAAAAAGACAAACCATAGACTGGGAGGAAATAGCTTCAAATGACACACCTGATAAAGAATTAGTATCCAAAATAAATACATAAATCTTAAATGTAATAATAAGGGAAAAAGGATTTTTAAAAGGGCTAACCTGGGCAGGGTAGTGCATACCTGTAATCCAGCACTCTAGGAAGCTGAGGCAGGAGAATTATAAGTTCAAATCCAGCTTGGGATACTCAGAAACTTAGTGAGATCCTGTCTCAAAACAAAAAACGAAAAGTGCTAGAGATCTTTATCAGTGCAAAGGCCCTAGGTTCAATCTCTAGCACCACTAGAATAAAACATGATCAAAGATGTTAACAGACATTTCCCTAAAGAAGATATATAGCTATCAAAAAGCATATGAAATGACACCTTACATCATGTCCTCAGAGAAATGTGAATTAAAACAATAATAAAAAACACCAGACCACCAAATGCTGACAAAGATGAGGAGCAACAGGAATTCATATTCACTGTTCATGGGAGTATAAAATAGTATAGGTACTTTAGAGATAATTGGACAGTTTCTTTTTCTTTTTTCTGTACTGGAGATTAAACCCAGGACCTTCACACAGCTACATTCCCACACCTTTTTTAATCTTTTATTTTGAGACAGGGGCTTGCTTCGTAGCTAAATTGCCCAGATTAGACTTAAACTTGCCATCCTCCTGCCTCCGTGTCCCCAGAGTGCTGGCATCACAGGTGTGCACCACCGCACCTGGTGAGTTTGGCAGTTTCTTCCCATGTGATCCAGTAATTGTTTCCTGGGTATTTACCTGAGGAGTTGAAAACTTACATCTGCACAAAAACTACACACAGATATTTATACCAGCTTTACTCATGATAGCCAAAACTTAAAAAAATAAGATATCCTTTAATAAGTGAATGGATAAATAATCTGTGGCACATCCACATAATGGAATATCACTTAAACCTGACCCCCAAAAAGAAAATGCTACCAAGATGCCAAAAATATATGGAGAAAACTGAAATTTAGGGACCAAGTGATTGAGAGAGGGAAGAGAGAGAGGAAAGGAAGGGGATGAAGAAGAATTCAGACGTGCTGTGTGTGTATACTGACTCCCCACTACAAATGGAATTATTACATATGGCAAACATGTACTAATAAAAAGAAAAATATTTCCTTTTCTTTCATATTCAGACATTTGCCTTTGCTTTGTGCTCCAATTAATTGTGACAGGAGGTTCATGTCAAGCCAGTCAGTAATAAGAACAAAAACTTATGTGATGTATATGATCTATACTTAGAGATGTCTGGACATTAAGCAGTCCAGACAATGTCACAAATTTCTTCAGTGACGTCCCATAAATGTCAGTGAATTAGGTAAAAGCTTCTTATATACTAGATAGACGGTTGATTAAAAGAGCTATCCTATGTCAAAATGGATATTTAAGTATGTCACAAAAATGTCATGATTGTCATGCTGCAATATTATGTATGATTTTAATTTTAAATTTTCTTCATAAAATTGAAAAAGAAAAATATTTGTAAAGAAAGCAATAAATTAACAATGC